CATGGAAGAATCCAAACTGATAGTTAAGGAGAATGGGAGGGTCTGAGGTAAAGTTGAGTTCCTGGCCCCAAGGAAGACATGTGCATAGAAGGGAAACTTCCTGGAGCCCTGATGGTGAGCAGACAAGGGAATGATGTCTAATACTGAGGCCCAGGTACCTTGGGAACTCTAGCAAGCCTGGGGGAATTCTGTCAGTGTTGCTGTCAGGTTTGCTACCCGACATTTGGTAGTAATAGAAAAAGATGTCCCTTCTCCCCCAGGTGGATGCATCTCTACTCTAGGATACATGGATTATGAATCAGCATGGGCTAGATTTCAGCTCCCACTTGCTCCAATGGCCAGAGCCCTTTTTTTCAGTGTACAACCTACCCAACTTCACATACAGGCCCTGAATGAACTGGGAATTTCTTTTAGCTAAAAGCTAATCTTGTGCCCATACACATGAAATTGTTTAGGGAGAACAACCTATCATTTAGCAGAAAGACTACAAGAATGGTATTTGTAGATAAAAGAACTCTTTTAAGGGATATAAATTAAAGAGATATAAAGATAATAAGGGATAGTAGATTTGATTTGATCTCTCCAAATTCTAAAAATGTCTGATAATGTAAATGATATTTTTCTGGTGCCTCTCCTATCCTGATTTCCTACAGAAATGGTTGCATGCTTGAGCAACCATAGGCAAATTAACTAGGCCCTCTGTAGGTCAGTTTCTTTACGCTGGAGTTGTGAGGATTAAACACGTTGATCCATTTAAAGCTAGAACTGGGTCTAGCGTTTAGTATTTACTCAATAAATGTTAGTTATTATTTGCGCTATTCACATGTTAATGAGAGTGTTGAGCTGCATGAGGCTGTAGAGGCCATCTGGACAACATTCTTTCAGAAAACAGTTTTCGAGCTACGCCTTGGAAAATGGGTAGAATTTCAATAGCTAGAGAAAATAAGAGGAAGACATTCCAGGAATTGGGAATAAAGGTGGAAAGGTACAGGTAACATTCAAGTATTTAGCAGAAACTGAAAGGCATGTGTAGGAGAGGAGTGGTAAATAAGCCTGACAGCTAAACTGGGGGCACATAATAAGGCTTACAGAATTCATCCTTCTCTCTCTGGTCAGCAGTGAAAACCAAGAATGTTTTAACTTGTAACCCTCTGAAATCTGATTCCCCTCTATACAATGTCTTTTCCTCAAAAGTCTTTTAATGCAGGGCATCTAAAACTGGAAAGTGCAAACAAATGACTTGAGGTCCTTCCTATAATACAGATTCTGATATGGCAGGTCTGGAGTGAGGTCTGAGACCCTACATTTTTAACAAGCTTCCAGGTGCTACCATGTCTCTGCTGCTGCTCGTCCACGGCTCACCCTTTGAGCACCAAAGGTCTAATCCAATGGCCTCTTCTCACTCTCATCCTTACCACCTCTGCAGCGTTTGGCCTTGCTGATTTTCCTTAAGTTCTCATCATTGGCTTCTATTCTTTCACGTGAAACTTATGCAATTACTTGAAGCTGAAAATACAGACTAGAAGCCTCCTCTGTAAAACTTCAGTACATACCAACTTGTCCTGGGCATAGCTTTCATCATATAAAACAAAGTTGCCATTGGTAACAATACTTTTACATATTAGCTATAGCTACAAGCTCGAGTCCAATCTTTCGATGTATACTGTCCAAGCAAGTGTAAGTGTATCAATCTCTTTGGTTTTTGAAATGCAAGTATCACAAACCATCTTTTAATATAAGACAGACATATTTTGTTATGAAAAACATCTATTGCCTATCTCATAATGTGTCTAACTTCTCTGGAAAATAAATCTCCCCCGAAATCCCCATGCCCACTGTGGCCCCACCCATCCACATGGGTACTGGCTACCATTTATTGGTGCAGAGGTGGGCCCTTATCCAAAACTGGGTCATCTTGAGTCTTTCCCCCAGGATTTTACATGAGAAATGGAAAAAAAAAAAAAAAGCAAGTTAGTCTCTCACTATCTCTATAGAAGTGAAGAGAATGTAAATTCAAGAGCTATTAGGAACCACATTCTGTCATGTGGATGGCAGAGCAGAAAACAGCAGTCAATTGTAAGAAAAAAAGATTGATAGGGGCCCATGGGTGGCTCACTCAGTTAAGTGTCCAATTTTGGCTCAAGTCATGATCTCGCAGTTTGTTGAGTTCAAGCCTCACGTCAGGCTCTGTGCTGACAGCTCAGAGCCTGGAGCCTGCTTCAGATTCTGTCTCTCCCCCTCTCTCTGCCCCTCTCCCTCACACGCTCTTTCTCTCTCTCAAAAATAAATAAACATTAAGAAAAAAAAATTTTTTCATAAAAAAGTCTGAAGGTACCACAAGAGCACAGGGAAATACCTCCACAGTATGGCACACTGACAACCTTGAACATCTCCACATAACCTGTGGACACGGCTAGGCCACAGACTGATTCGAGTCTTGGCAGAATGCCCGATGATTTCTTCTGGTCTAAGGGAAGATAAGCAGCCTGGTGAGGAAGAGCAGAGAAGCTGTTTCTCCTGTTATCTTAGGGAAGACTACCATGAGGCCATTTCTCATGTATCTCCCTAGTTTCAGTTGAACTCAAGACTTTCCACCTCATTCCCACTTGGGGAAAGCTGCAGCCTTCAGTGTAAGTCAATAAAACTGCTTGGCTGTGGTTCTGAGGCACCTCCTCGACAGTAGAGTGACCCGCTGCTCATACCATCTACCAACTGGCATCTTCAGTTTGGTGTTGCCCATGGAATAAGGGACACAGGGAACCGACACCACCATATCACCTGCTTTTCCTATCTAAGTAATTAGCTATCTGAACCCATTTGGGCATGTTTACTCCTTACCAGGCAAATCTATGGAAATATGGCAAACCATCCTAACAGCTGTATTAGTATTACTGGTGACCCTACTATTCGCCACGAACCTGCTGCCTTGGAAATGTTTAACCATTTGACAACGTGAGGAAAGGTAAAGGATGACTTCCTGAATTCTCCTCAGTGCTCTAGCTCCTGGTTCCAGTCTCTTCCAGGAATGCATCCAGACCTTGAATTCCAAGAGATTCCCTGGTATTTCTGCAATAAACTTCCCCAGCTTTTTTCCCCCTTAAGAAAGCCAAAATGTATTTTTAACCTTTACCCTCAAAAGGTCATATAATACACACACAGAGGTGCCGCATTTGATGACATTATCAGTAATGAGAACTTTAGCGCTAGAGATTCAAACGCATTTTCTATATTTATTAAAATTCCACATCTCTTGTATATTAATTTCTCTTTGGCCCTTTACCTAGTATATGTACTATGATTAATCTGCATTTATTAAAAACCAGTAAATATAAAGTTTTATGAAAATATTATTGCCTAAGTAGAAAACACGATCTCCTTTCACTATGATGAAAGTGTACATTACTTTCAACATTTATCAGTGATTCCATAGTACCAAATCTATAAATCAACCACACTATGTTTAATTTACCTTACACATATACTAATTTTCATTCATATTAGTTATAACTATAAGAATATGATGGAATCACACATTTGTGCCAAATATTTATCAACCAACAAAAACATGTAAGTAGGTTACAGTTTGACCCTTGAGTTTAGCTGTGTCTAAGATCTAGTATGATCATCTAAGCCAATACAGAGATGCTTCTGAATCATTAATTAGAGATTAGGATGTTCACCAATTTGCCTTACTCTCCCATTCGGACAGCTAAGTTTTCTTTGATCAGGGTCATGGACTCTGAAATCAACCCAGTCAGGGAGAGCTGGCAGTCTAGGATATTATGGAATTTGACCCGGTGACTAAATTGGTGAAAATTCATTGTCACTTCTGGGAAACAACTAAAAAAGCAGACAGTGTGGCCACTGACATCATAATTATGGATGGACAAAGCATAATCACATATAAGAGATGAATGCCTTGATGGTCATATTAATGACATGTCCTCCTTATAAACTGTACAGACCATGATTGATAACATGTGGTTGCTTGTGGTACTCCTGAGATGCAAATAGTTCACGACATAATGATAACTAGTCATAATTTGTAATAGGCCTTTATAAAAAGTCCAAGTGTATTTGAAAATAAATTTTCCTAGTTGACGTTAAACATTAGACATCTAGTCACTCTCCCCATATGATTTACTAGAGTTACCATAGTATAACGTCTTAAGAGAATATCTACACTTACAAAAATGTTTTATGGTGCTGAGTGAATTGTAGTAATTTATAAATTACTTTATAAATTTAAAATAAAAATGTGTCACAGCTATGAAAACTTAAATTTTCAATCAACTCATGATTTATATTTTAAAGTATCTTTAAAACACAGCCACACAACATAATCTCATGGGTTCTTATTTTCTCTAGCCACACTTAGTAATTATTTCCATGATTAGTTACAACAAATTTTTTCTAGTTTTTTTCCCACAACGTAACTCTCCATAAATTGTGAACCCCTTATATCAAAGGTGTTTATGTGTGTTAACATATGCATTTAATTTTAATATGCCTATTTAAGGCACGAATAGCCCCCAGCAAGCACTCTCTGCACTAAGAAGACCTGTGGAGTGCTGAGGTACACACTCTAATGACGGAGGCAGGAGTTATGTAAGACCTGAGCCCAGAAGAAAGAAGCTGCAAATGATAGCAGAGCTAAGGCTGACGCAAGCTGGATCGCTTCAAGTAAAATAACCAGCTAGGAATCAAGGCCTCCTCCAAGTTGCAGGCCTTGGGGCTGCCTAGCTTGCATTTCAGGCTGACGGCGCAGAAGGCGGGGCAGCCGAGAGCGGCGGCGCGGCGCGGCGCGGCGGCGACTTGACCTGGGGCACCGGCCTCCCACCGCCGGCTCCCGGCTTCCTTTGCTCTGGCCCTCGGCGGGCTCAGGCGCTGCGCCTGGAGCGCTGCATTTAGACGGGAAACTTCGGATGCCAGGATTGTCTGAGAAAAGTTTTCCGACACGCTAAATGAAAAGCGACTGGCCCCTAGCGGGGCGGCCTTACCAGCGGAACCACCGGCCAGGATCTGGCGAGAAGCCTCTTTCACGAAGCCGACCTCGGGCTTGGCGGACATCTTCGAACGCCCAGGACGACGCAGTGGGCCGAGATGAGTGGGCGAGCTCGCCGGCCTCGCTACCGACCTGCACGGCTTCTCCCGATCGAGAGAGCCGGTGCTGGGCAGTTCCTTGCGCCGAGTGAGGCTGCAATCCGGCGACTGCTCGGAGGTGGAGGCTCAGGGCGCACACTCGCCGCCGCGTGATGTGCCGCGGGTCCGAACCTGCCCGCTGCACCCTTTCAGGGGCGCTCTCTCGGCGCTGCTAGGCTTCCTGGGCTCCGAGAAAGACCTCGGGGGAGAAAAGACTCGCGGATGGGGTCGGGCTGGCTGCCGCGGTGAGGCGGGTTTGGTCTCCTAGATTGGCGCCCACGCGCTTCCCTATCGGGAGCCGCCTGCGGTTTGTCAAGCTGGACGTGCTGCCTCTGATAACGCAAGTAAAGAAGCGTCTCCGGCCTAGCGGCCCGGGCTGGGGCGACCCTTGCCCTCCCGGCAAGCAGGCGCACTGGGAGGTCCTAAAGAACGGACAGGTGGATAAGTTCTTTGGAGTTAGTTGTCCTGAAATTGTGGGCAGTAGAAACGAGAAAGCAAATCCCATTTGCAGTTACGTTGCAATTAGGTTAATGTAGTACTTCACAAAGAAATGGTTTTGGCTTAAGGGAATTTATCACAACTCATCAACCTGAGTTTTATTTACTGAAAAACCAAAATAAAGAAGAGGCATTACTACAGAGAAGTGTCATAGGTACCCTAGGTCAGTGATTCTCAAACTATGAACTTAGCATCCAGGAACAGAAGCACGATGTGAGAGTTTGCAAGAAAGGCAAATTCATGGCCCCACCCATATCTACTGAATCAGAATCCCTGGGTAAAGGGCTCAGAAACCTGAGTTTTAGTAAGTTCTCCAGTGATTTCTTAAGAGCGTTAAAGTTTGTGAACCACGAACCTAAATGATCAAGGAACATTAAGGAACTATCAGTATATTCTCTCTATAAAACACTTAATTGTTCACACTAGCCCTTTAGGATATTTGGCAAAACATAAATGCTAATTCATACTGTTTTTAAACCACAAGTTACAAATGCTATGTAGAAGAGACACAATATAATGAAATTTAAGAAAAATACCTGCCACACCTCTAACAGGTAGGAGATGATACCAGTAAAAGGTATTTGGAGAGGATTTGGAGCCCCTATTGTCATATTAGTTCTTAAACACACTATTTAATACTAAATATATTCACTTTGAACCATGTGAAATTGCCAATTATGAAAAAGCCAGGAACAGTGGAGTATCAGCAATATAATATGATTAAAACTTATTGTATATGATTTCCACTTAAATATGCAAAATACAATAATTAGTTTCATGTTTTGTTTTTATTTCTGAGGCAGAGCTATTAAAAGCTGGTAATAATGGTATCTGACTGGCAAAACTGTTGAAAGTAAGGAATTGGGGAGTTTGCTGCTTGTGGATCAGATACGCAAAAATAAATTTTCTCATATTTGGTCAAATATTTGATTAAAATTACCAAGTTTGAAATGTTTGCCATGAAATAGTTTTCAGAAATTTTTGCTATTTAGATAAAAGCTTTTGAGCAATGTTTCAGTCTTTTACAAACTAAATATGAAGTATTAAGTGCAATATAGAATCACGTATTCAACAAATATTGAGAACCTGTTATTATACTAAGCACTAAAATCAGAATTTCAGAACTCATAGGAAGTATTTCCCTCATCGTCCAGTGAGGACACTGAGTTTCCCAGGATCACACCACAAGTTAATAATGTCTCTGGGATTTGGTTCCAGAATTCCCTCTTCTAATAGCAACAGGATTGTAGATTTCAATATTAGCCGCAGGGCAAACTACATTCTGTCACACAGAAAACCAAAATAATTAAATGCCCCCAAATTAATTTGTTTCTTCATATATGTAAGTGGAGAATTTTTTTAAGTTAAAAACAATGTCACAACTATTAAACCCCAAGGCACACACTGAACAAAATTCTAGATTCATTCACTGAAAGCTTAACTAAGTATCAGCACTTTCCTACGTACTGGCAATGTAACAGTTAAAGTTCCTAGTGGAGCATATAATCTAATGGAGGAGATACTACCATATTGCAATATAAGTAAAACTTTTGCCTTCCTTAGATACTCCTTGATACTCCCAAATCAAGATTTAAAGATAGCGTTTTTCTTTTTCCTTCAGTTGGATCAGTGTAAAGATAGCCTTCACCAATTCTATGAGGTCCTTAATCTCTGAATATCTTATCCAGAGGAGGTAGGTGCAGGTTTATGGTCTCACTAAGACCTCAGTCTCTTAACACCTGTATGGATTCAGTGCGAAGACCCTCCTAGACATAGTTCCAAATACTCTGTTAGAAAATTACTACCAATTATTAACCTCTTTGGGCTAGAGCAGATTTTTTTGAGTAAAATAAGCAAAGCCTGCCATCACATCTGATTTCTAGTCCTACACCTCTAGAATAGTTGAGGAGATAAGATCTAGGTATAAGAATATTCTGAAGCCGGGATTCAGCCAGTGTTAATCTAGAATCAACAAATACCCACTGTGCTAAGAGCTCTGATTATGGGATGTATCTCTTACCTGCAGCCAAATTTTCCTGTAGCTAATATTGGAATTCTGGGAGGTTTAGCACTGAGTTGGGGGGGAAGGAAAATTTACTTGACCTACTGTTTCAGATTTCCTTTCTATCATTAGATAGATTACTCTTTCTATTATTATTTTTATATAATACTGTAATGCCCTGATATCAGAGCAAAACTGCTAAAGTGTCAAGCTTATATTTTAAATGATTATTTAAATTAAATTATTTTAAAATGATTATTTGGTTGAGAACTACATAATTAGAATGGCTAGAAACTTAACTGCCAGGTACCCTAAAATACTCACTGAACATAAATATCTAATAATGTCTTCAGTGTCTTGTTGGAATAAAGTTTTTGTATTGGGCCATTGGATCAGCTACTGTTCAAGACCAAAACAATAGTGGCTTAAATAAGATAGAAATTTATTTTTCCTCATGTAAGCCATGAATAAGGTTCCGGCCAGCAGAAAGAAGAGAAAGACAAGAAGCATAAAAAAAGACCTGGAAATTACACAGATCTCATTGGTCAGAACTTGGCCACATGGAGTATACCTAGGTATGAGTGAGGTTGGGAAAAATAGTATTTTGCTGTGTGGCAATGAGTCTAGGGGGGAAAAAA